TCTCTCTCTCTCTCTCTCTCTCTCTCTCTCTCTCTCTCTCTCTCTCTCTCTCTCTCTCCCTTCTCTTTTCTTTCTCTTTTTCTAAACCTCTGTTTCTCTTTCCCATCTCGCTCTATCTCCCCCCTCTCCCCCCCTCTCTCTCCCTCTCCCTACCTCACTCTTTTCCCTACCCCCCTCCCCACCCAACCTCTTGTGGTCAGTATCTTCCTGTACTGGAAACGGCGAACTGGTTGTAAATGATGATCAAGTGTGGTCTGCTCTTGCTGTTTCTCATCACCAAAGTCATCTATCGCAGGTGTGTGTGGGTGGTTGGCGAGTGCTCTGGTGTGGTTTGCTTCTTCTTTCCAATCAAACATCTATTGTCCTTAGCTCTACTCCTTTTTTGTGCTTGTTACTCTCTTGTAACACCTCTAATCGTCGGCGCTTATATGACCTTATTGTGTTGCAAGTGCCGTAAAACTCTTACTAAAACTAACTTAACTTGTTCCCAGCACCAAATGTCCGTTATTGTGTCGGTGCGCCTCTCTTTATTAAGCTCAAAACAGCGCGCTCACGTGACCTTATGCAGTTGTGAGCGCTGTAAAACTCTTACTAAAACAAATACTCAAAACTCAAACCCAGCACTACTAAATGACCGTTGTTGGGTCTATGCGCTTGACTGGAACTCAAACCAAGCACTTGCTAACCCTTATTGGGTCGATGCGCTTCTCTTTACTCAAAACAAATATGTTGACTGCTATTGTGTCCTCGTGTTTGTATCTTTCCTCAGCCAATCAAACAAACATTGTTGTTTATGTGATTGGCGTGGTCTTTGCCAAATTGTGTGTACCAGCCACTGTTGTCGTTGCGTGTTTGTTTTGTAACTGGCTGCTTGGCGAGTGCTCTGGTGTGGTTTGCTTCTTCTTTCCTATCAAACATATATCGTCATTATTCCCCCCCCCCCCTCCGGCAGTGTCACTGACTGTAGTGTCTGTAAGCCATTCCCAAAGGGGGGACATTTCTCGTTCAAGCACAGTAGAATTGTAAATAGGCTGGTTCATGTCATGCTCATAACTGTGCCTGAACTGCAATAGGGAACTGCTGCTTTTTCCTCCTAATCCTTACTATCGTCATTTTCCCTCTACTTCTTTTGTATGTTTGTCACACTCTTGTGACCCACTATTTACGGGGTGCCTTGAATCATAGTCGAAGCAGACTTTATGCTGTTGAAGCTAGAGAGGTGAGCAGAGTGGGCCTGATTCCATGTACGTGTAAGAACTTGCCTGTTGACATCCACTCTTTGGCGCTCATATGACATTTTGCAGTTGCGAGCACCGTAAAACCTCTACTAAAACACATAACCTTTTTGTGTTTGTTACTCTCTTGTAACACCTCTACTCTTCGGCACTTATATGACCGTATTGTGTTGCAAATGCCGTAAAACGTTCACTGATACTAAAACTGTGTTCCCCCCAGGGTTCCTGATCGCCATCAACTGCCGGAACGTGAAGTGGGCCACCCGGGTCCAGGTGGTCATCACGGCCTCCAAGCTCATCGCCCTGGCCATCATCATCGTCATGGGCATCGTCTACCTGGCCATGGGTGAGTACATCTCTCCTCATTGTTGTGTTTTAGCGAAGTTTTGGGCCGTCTGGGTGCGTGGGTTCGGTTAGGTCAGGTCAGGTCAGGTCGTTTCGTTTCGTTTGTTTGTTGTTTTGTTGTCGTTTTTTTGTGTGGTTTTCTTTTCTTTTTGGGGAGG